TACCTGAGCCAGACCGACCTTGCAACCCTCTTCCACGTGTGCCCATCCATCCATCTCCTCTCCCTTCTCATCCAAGAACACCGCTTTGTGGACTTCCGACCCCTCCAACAACCCATACCACCGAATCTGACCCCCAGCGTTGCCATGCATCGGTGGAGCCGCATGTTCACCGCATGCTTACTCCACTATGACCTCAGCATTGACAGAAATAAATGAGTATAGACTATAAGCCTATAGTTGACTAGTTCCTACAAGTTGATCGATATCAATCCAAGTAAAAAGCATGCAGTGAGAAAAGCGATGATCCATCACTTTTCCATGCAAATCCTATGATTTGTCAGAGAACTGCTGACTCAGTTCTTTTCTACGCTAAATTAATGGCGTGTAACAGTTTGCACACGTGTGATGCGTGCGGCGCACAGGCTACACTTCAACCTGGGAATCCTATAGGTTGAGTCACAAGTCCCGTTCCTGTTAGAATTCTGTCACTCCCCAAATGGGATGAAGTGAGGACCTAGTCCTCTCGTTCAGCAGTATCCCCAGACCAGAACATTAGAGTCAGTAGTAGTGTCCAGATTTGCTGATCACCCCAATGTTTGCTGAGAATATCAGCTGGGTTGAGAGCACTGTCAATGTGGATAATAGATAGCATGTTAGCTGCTACTGCTTCTCTCACACGGTGGAATGACAATGCAACATCTTGATTGTGTAGCTTCGCTTCAGGTAGGGAAGAACTGTTCATGACAGATTCATTGTCACCAGACATGTAGCTTTGACCTCTGATCGACACACCAAGGTACCTCAAGGTTTGTTGGAGATCCATGATCTGTTTGGCACAGGTTTGAGTGGCTACAGGCTCAGAATCATAAGTAGCAGTCTCAACAGTTGGCTGCTCCTTAGATAAGAAATCAATTGAGGTTCCATTCAACATACACTTTGGTGAAGTAGTGTGTAGCAATCTCAGCTTGACTTGATTGGATGGACAAAGAAGTTTCTTCTTGTCCTTGACTATATTTCCAAGAGGTTTACAACCTTGACTTTCCAACAGGTTGTGATTTCTGGCATGTATAGTGTAGGTCACTGAGTCATCGGCTCCAGTGATGCTCAGTGCTTCTGGAGTATTCTCCCCATGTTTCCATCCAATGGCCATACAAAAGGTCAGACCCAGGTAAGAAGGGTGTTCAAGTCGAATGTAGTGATGGCAGCATACAACCCACTTGAGATTCCAAACAATGGGGGTGTCTGCGTCAATTTCTGACCACTTGTGGATGTTACGGTAAGCCATGACACGTTCATATTCACCTTTGTCAATGTTCAGGCATAGTTGAATATGTGCAGGCTCAATGTCCTTGTTGCGGTTGTGCTTGTAGTTAAGCTCAACAATCTTGGCACGTCGAACATAACTTTCATCTGGTGAGAGAAGGAAAGTTTGTCCAATGAGGTCCCAATTTCCTAGCAGAACGTCTTCTATATCTGATTCATCCTCACTAGAATAAACAACGGTCTTAATGGTCTGATTGTCACTGGATTTGATTTTTGTAGGGGGTGCCAACTCCTCCCCATCAGATAGATCAATTGAGGTGATTATTGTAGGGAGCGTGAGTTCCTCCCCATCAGGTAGATCAAGTAATCCTACGGATTACCAGGCGCCGCCTCCACTTCATGACTCGATATCTAGCGTGATTGGCATAGGATGATTGCATACTACGAATTTGTACCAAACAAGATTATGCCAGTCCTCCATACGTAAGTAAGAGATGTAGGTTTGGCATCGTAAGCTTGGTAACTAGAATTAGGGACCGGATTTGGAAACGGGAATCGAAGATTCGACTCAATGGATGCAAACGTGACACAAAGTTGGGACCTGGATGGTACCGAGCATTTGGTGCAGAAGAGATAAATCAGGCCAAGGAATGTTATGCGATCGCTTCCGGATGAAACGGAAGAAAGGGCCAAGACACTTGCGAGTGCATGGAGTGGGGGGGAAAAAAAGAAAAAAAGAAAAATTGTGGATGGCTGGTGCATCATATAAAAGGGAGTAGAAAAATTGTGGAAGGTAGCAAGGTAGTTATATAAGAAATGTAGTTGCATTGATCATGGTGATTGCATCATTTTGTTGCATGATGCGTAGCCAGGTCGCTGTCTGGAAATCGATCGGTTGGGATGGTGTCGGCGCTGAAGATGTGGGCGTGGGAATGGAGGCTCTGGGACTCATTGTGATCGTGAAGGTACTACACCCTCTCAGAACCGACCGTTCCAACCAACAAATTTCATTTAAAAATTACCCCCAAAAGTCACTATTCGTTTCCATAACCTACTCACAAATCTCCAGTATTGGCCATTTCATTTGAACCAATGCAGACCTTTCCCCCATGCACCCTTGATGCCATCCTCCAGGTTGGTCGTTCTGCTTTGACAACCGTCAAGGACCTACCCCTGGAACTACTAAGGAAAACCTCCTCCTCTCCAACTACTTCCACACTCATATCGCTAGTGAGTGCAAAAACATCCTCCTCTCCCAAGCGCACGGATTTGCTTACTTTAATGGCGCCGATGGTACCCTCCGGCAAGTCATCTGCGCTAAGCAGGTCGGCCCAAACTTGCACTGCACATCCGCCAATGATAGCTATGATGTCCCCACCCCAGTTGCCTTTTCTTTAGATGCCCTTGGCAGCAGCGTCATATCTATTGCCCGAGACGACCTCGCTTGAGAATGTCAAGCCCGGCACCTTCATGACGCCCAATACTCTGCCCACACTGCCTTGGCCCCTGATAGCACCGACCCGCCCAAGGACATCCACTGGCCCAGTGGGGACGGAGTGTTCACCAAAGTCAAAAAGTTCTTCCCCATCTACCCTGGTGCCAACATCCCACCAAGCCTTAAGCTATCCACCGCCCCACCGTCCAATCTAGAATCCTTCCACCCCCAATTCCGGCTCTGGTACAAGGCAATGAAGTACCTTCACGATCACAATGAGTCCCAGAGCCTCCATTCCCACGCCCACATCTTCAGCGCCGACACCATCCCAACCGATCGATTTCCAGACAGCGACCTAGCTACGCATCTGACATATTCCCCATCCACCGTCAGTGCATTTGCAGCTGAGGTCCTCACCTACAAAGCCCTCTTCGAAGAATTCAAACAGCACTTGGCCCTCTCTACTTTAGCATCTACTAATCATGTCACTACCCAAGAAGCTCCAGCAGCCCCCCTTCCAGCAGGGGCCCCATTTGATAGC